CAGGAATGTGGCATTCTCTCGGAGACCCTGGACAACGGCGAGAAACAGCGGAGTCTCCCCTCTCAGAGTACGGCATTGTCCTGACCCCTGAGGAGATGCTGAATGAGGAATTCTCATTAAGGAATGATTTAACATGTTTTGGGGGTTTAGATATGTAACTATTATGGAAGCTTATTTCCGCAGAGAAATAAAAATATAAAAAAGTAACTGCGACTTATATCTCACAATTCATACTTTTTCACAATTTTGAGTTAATATTTCGCAAAATTGACAATTATAAACCCTGAATTCTGAGTTTACATCTGGCAATTCTTACTTTTTTCTCTCAAAATTCTGAGTTCACATCTCAAAATTCTGACCTTTTTTCTTGGAATTCTGATTAGGCCTAGTTTTTTCTCTAAACTCTTAGACATCTCACAATTCAGAATTTTTTCTTGTAATTATAAGTTTACCTCTCGCAATTCTGACTTTTTCCCTTGGAATTCTAACTTTATTTCATCTCACTTTTCTTTCTGCCACAGAATTAAAAATAAAAATAGGTAATTGCGAAATTTTAATCCCACCATACAGTACAATTCTCCCTTTTTTCCTCGCAGTTGTGAATTATAAACTCAACATCTCGCTCGCAATTCTGACTTTTTTTCTGAGAAAATAAGCTTCCATGAACTATAGATACTGTAGGCTATCTCTTCAACCTGCATAAGTGATCTCCAGAATGCTCCTCTTGTGTTGCACCGCTGCCTCATGCAAAGGAATCCAGCCCTTGCTGTCTGCATTAGACAAAGCCTCCTTACGCTGCACCAGGACCTTCAGAGCATCTTCATTACCTGACACCACACATGCGGTGAGCATCACGAAGACTCCAGATCCTCTACACTACAGCACTTCCTGAAAACGCTGATGGACATTTTTGGAGTATTTAGCTCTTACCAGCTTGTATAGCAGTGAAAATTTCCTCGTGGTCGATGCAGTCTAATGGATCACTGAGGGACATCAAAACAAAATGTTAGATCATAAGACACACGCTATTAGTGCATATAAGTGGGGGTTTAGCTGTACCTGGTAGCTGAATCAGCATGTTTACTGTACTCCAATAGACTCTGTTCAATCATGTACTGAGTGGCCTCATCTTCATCATCATCCAAGTCATCCTCCGCAGCCTCATACACTTCCTCCATATTTCACTAATAAACTCTAATTTGGTAATCAGAACCACAAGATTTATCAGCAAATGGCATTTTCTGTCTTTACAATGTGAAAAAAGTGACTTTAGTTATCAGTATCTTTATCCACATTTATATCCTGTAGTTAAGAACCCTTAACTACAGAATATTAATGTTTACAAAGATACTGATAAAATCACTTTTTTTCACATTTCACATTTTAGGATTTGCCAACCTAGCATAGGATCACAATAAACATACTAGTCTAATGTAGGAAAACATAGTGGATCATGTATATTATGACTAGCATCATGCTAGTTTGACTCCTTAAGTCAATGTTATAAGTTTTCTTTTCTGCAACAAACTGTATTGTATATGCATACAAGCTGGTTTCCAATAGCCAAAGCTGAAAATATCTGCTGATCTAGTTTCTACTGAGCTGGCTTGAATTACAAAAGGATGTAACCAACACTCAAAACTCTGTATTTGTTGCATTAAAATGTCAAATTCATGAATGAGCCTAACATCATAATTAGAAGCTTTGGTAACTTCATTCTTTAAATGACTGTCTAATTACTTTAAGAATGTTTTGTAAACATGCAACACATCCCATGCAATCTATTTCTGCAGAGATTTTCCAGCAGGAATAATCTGTTTACATATGCTTAATTCAAAGGCAAATGTTTCTTCTACCTGAGGCAACGGGAAATGTTGAAAACAGTCGTGGCAGTTGTATCTGTGCCGTGTTTTTGGTCGCTTTACACTCTTAAAACTATTTATATCTGTGCATGGTTAAAAATACATGCTCATGGGGCCTGGGCCAGCCAACCAACACCTGGCTTTGACCCACTGCGTGACAGTCAGCCTTGCAATTCTACCCCACCAGACAGCTGACCTGAGAGTTAATGTTCTTAGCATTTGTGTTCTTAGGAACACTTGCAATGAGCCACACTTTCTCTTGTATTCAGAGGTCTGTTTGAATTCAACGGTAACCACACGTCTTTAAATTCAGTTTCACACTCTCAGAAAAACAGGAAGCTGTGCATTGATTAAATAAAGCTATCCCAGCAGAGACACACATTAACACTCTTATGTATGATTTAATAAATCTCACAGAAAAAAACAAAAGAATATTCTTTGTACTTAAAAGCAAGAATATAATATATTCTCAATCTTTTTCTTGTTGTTGTGATGTACAATAATGCAGGCAAATTTGTTGCCAAGCAATAAATGTGCCCTTTTGAGCAACAAAAATAGCTAAGAACATATAAATGAAACACAAAAATATATAACAATCTCACCCGGAGTAGAAAGTGTTATAATAAATATAAGAGACTGTATAATGAGAACTGAAATAATGTTTTAAGTATATAGCAGGTTTCTCTACTGATTTTTTTTTTTTTTTACAAAAAAACACTACAACAAATATAGTAATGTTACTCAATTGAAAGTGCTCTGTAGATCAACTTCTATACTGAAAAATATTTTTCACCTGTCCGGATCTCCTGTAAAAAAATCGAATGAAATATTCTGGAGGTACTTGATGCTTCACCACTATCATCACCCATGCTGAATTGATCATCCGTTGTCATAAATAAAAAACCCAATGACATTTAAAGAGAACAGTCATAGAATTATGATGGTGTTTGTCAAAAGATATTAAAAATCAATTGCAGAGATATTATTTTTAATGGAAACAGTGAAAAATAAGCAGTAAATAAAGTGCTGGTTCAGACGTCAGAGGGGTTTGGTGTCAATCATCTAGCTGACAGAGTAAAGCCACCCCTCTCTTGATCCAGTGCTGAGGACGCTTGCTGGTAAGGAGCATCATGCTGATGACAAAGTTGGTTGAATGGCCAGTGGTGGACAGTGTTCCTTTACGCTCACTGGTCTTATAGAGGGGACACACATAGATGCTCTGGGGCTGATCCATGCTCCTCTTGTCCGCTAAAGATAGGTTTGGAGAGGTTGCTGAGCAAAGTAACTACAAACGCATGATATATGAATATAAATTAAAATCATGACATAACATTACTTGGTTTGATCCAGATGATAGGGACTGCATCAAATAACACTTTGGGATACTGTTCGGCCAACACTCCACTGCAAGGAAGAACATAATAAATGAAAAAAATTATAGCTTAGAAATTATTATATTATTTCCAGTGTCTTCCTGCCCTGGAAGGCATTCTTGCCTTTTTCTATCCCACCGAGCTCCATCCAGGAAAAGGCCATGAATGTAGACTCCATCTTCAGGAGATGAGTCGGAGGTGTCAAATGGCAGTACCTAAAGTAATAAAGAACAATTTGTAGCTCTCAAATCATCTCTTTTTTATATGATAAAAGATCTCTCAGCCATAGAACAGCTGCAGCAGAGGATACCTCATAATTAAAGCCAAGCAGGTCAATAGGGATGGAGTACTTCCTAGCGTAATTCTGCAAGGCACCTGATATGAAAGCCTGAGTGAAGAAAAACCCAGACAACCAGAATACATGGGGCTTCTGCGTGTCATACCACTCCTAGAAAAAGAAAATGACACAGAGAGACACTAATTAATTAAAGGAATTAAAAAAATATATATATATATTGTCATCTATTCCTGTAGAGCTGAATCTTCAGTCACATGATCCTTCAGAAATCATTCTAATATGCTGATTTGGTGTTCAAGTTGTGCTGCTTAATATTTTTGTGGAAACTGTGATGCAGTTTTTCAGAATTCTTTGATGAATACAAAGTTCAAAAGAACAGCATTTATTTAAAATATTAATCTTTTTGTAACATTTTTGATTAATGCATCCTTGCTGCATAAAAGTATTAATGTCTTTCAAAAAAAGCTTACTGACCGAAATATTTTGAAATATTAAAAAAAATAAACTTCTGCACTATTTCTGTCACTAATCAAACGTTAGCAAATTTGTGACACAAATGTAAATTTTAGCTCAAATTTTTAATAAAAATGTTAATCATAACATGCATTGAAAATATGTAACCGTATTACATTTTAAAAATCCTACTACTTGTTTATCCTACTACTTGTTTCACTTCTATTTCAGTTTTTATAACCATTTCTTACTATGTGTAAGTAAGTTGTTGTTTTTTTAGCATGTAAGTGTTATTTTTTAGGATTACTGATAAACTACTGTCGTTTGATTTGTATTTGTTATTTATTTTAATTTTATTTAAATGATGTCAATTTATTATGTCTGTATAGGTCTTTTATTAAGTTTTAGTTTTATTTAATTTGAGTTATTTTAATACTTCAACAAACTAAATGGAAATGAAATATAAATGTGATAGTATATATATATATATATATATATATATATATATATATATATATATATGTGTGTGTATGTGTGTATGGTTGTACATACACATATATGTAGTTGTTTTTTTGGTGTTTGGCTTAGTGTTATGTTAGAATCATTATTATACTCATACCTTTTGTTCTTTAATATTTTGAATTGTTTTTAGCTTTATTTTTGTTTTTCATTTAAATGTTAAGTTTTGAAAGTTTGTTATATGCATTTGTCATTTTTATTTAATTTCTTTATTTTTAAAATGTGTATAAGTACTATTTATAAAGTTTTAGCTTTTAGTTTTGGATCTGTTTTTAGTTGTTTTAATACTACAATTGATTGCTTCTGTTGTCCTCATTTGTAAGACGCTTTGGATAAAAGCGTCTGCTAAATGACTAAATAAATAAATAAAAATGCAAAACAAAAATTTTCACTAGCTGTCTGATACTTTTAGACCCCATCGTCTGTGCATGATCACTGACCTGCAGAAATCTGAGTCTGGCTAAGAAGTCATTTACATAGCTGCCCAATGGCTTGAGACTAGGATAGGAGCATTTGGCCCACTTTTCTGGCACTTTCCCCACCAGCAGACTGCCAACTATAGCCTCTAGCTCTGCATCCATCACCACCAGCCCCTTAATGGCCTTTATCAGGTTCTGCAGACTCACACGTATAGTGCTGCTCAAACTAAAAGAGTAAAGTACACAGAGATTACAGAATGAACACCATACGTGGAATTGTTTCTGTAGACATTTTGGATCTAAAATGAGCTCTGAGGACTCACTTATTGTACCGCTGCATCTCCTGCACGAGCACCGTATTCATGCTCTCCTCATAACACACAGGAAACTTGACAAGGGCAGACTCAATGTCAAAGTTACCTGGAAGCTGCATGGCCAAAATCAGAATGTCAATAAACTGGCATATATACAAACACCTTTTTATCCCAATAACTACTTATAATCGTACTTTAGACAGGATGTCATTTGCAATGTCCAGTAGAGTGGTATCCCCGCCAGAGCCGCCCCCTCCCTTTGAGCCCCCACCCTGGGTCAAGATGAGGGAATCAAATAGTAGTTTTGTCTGTTGAAGGTCTTTGGAGATGTCCACGTTCTCATGCATGCCAAACACCTCGGGATGCTGGGTAGAAGGTAGGTTCTGTGGAGCATATGCAGTGTATTGTATTGAGTTTTGAATTTAAAACGAGGTCAGCAGCTACTGTGTCATAAAGTCGTACCCTGATAAACTCCACATAGTCTTCATAGATGTACTTTGGAGGTGCGTGATAATTGCCACTGGGGGAGAAGGCGTAGCGTGGGTGCTCGATAATGTCTTTATTGTAGAAGTCAGCGAGGACTGTCATGAGTAGGCGGCGGTCCCAGTCATCTGTTACACGTCCTCCGTAGTTACACTCTCCAGTCAGATACGTGATGGCCTCAAAGGGAACCTCCTCGTACTCATTCACAAAGAGCTGAGGAACAAAAAGAGAGAAAGACAATCAAATTATTCATACTGTTTTTCCAATCTTGGGCTAACAGATTTCAACTTTAATTTTGCTATATTATGGTCACATTTAATCTGTCAGGGATACTTCTTTCATGTCTTCGTCATTTATTTTTGCTACTTTTAATATGACTTTTGCACTGTCCAGATTTTATTGTTTAACCCTTGTCCATCAAAAAATAAATAAGTAAACAGTGATGATATGAGCAAAGAGTGAAATACGCATAGACAATTACAATATGTTTTTTGTGAAAATTATTTACTCTACAGTTCAAAAGTTTGGGGTCAGTAAGGTTTTTCTTTAAAAGAAATGAATACTTTTATTCAGCAAGGAATTACAGCAAGGAATGAAATTGATAAAAAGTGACAGTAAAGGCATGTATTATTAAAATTAATGCTGTTCTTTTGAACAAATGCTGTGTTTCTGCATCACAGTTCCACAAATATTAAGCAGCACAACCATTTTCAACATTGATAATAATAAGAAATGTTTCTTGAGCAACAAACATTTGGTGTACAGTGAAAAGCTTAGAATATTAATTTTTTTTAAATTTTAATGAGACATTATTTAATTGTATTTACAATGCTAATAGTTATGAAATTAGCCTTAGATGGATCAATAAGTCTGCCATTTTATTAATTTTAAAATTTAATTTGCAATTAACTACAATACACCATGTAGTGCAAAAGACACTGCGGTGAAAATTCAAGCACTTTACCTGCAGTTGTCTGATACTAATGCGCAGATCTGACTCGTTAAATCCATAAGGAATGTTCCATCCCAGTGGCCCAAACTTTTTTCTCTCCTGGACAAGAGCATGGAAGAAGCAAACTCCATACAGGAGCTTCTCCCAGACCTATAAAACAGCAGTCAGTAATAAAATACTATTATATCTGAAACATGATGAAGAGTCAACATAAGACTGCAGACAGTCCCTCTACTCACTAGCTCTTTG